CATATTTAATTTCAAATTTTAGTGTTTACATTGTTTCTGACTTTTTAATACCTTATTGTATATATTATTTTTAGAATGAAGGGACATAATTGCCACTTTTAAAATGCATTGTAGATAGGGATACTTTTATCAAAGTATGTTTCTATTTGTTTTAATACTACATCTTGTAACGCAACTAAAAAGCACCCCTTATTCTACGGATCCTAGGTGCTTAATAGGACAAATATGGTAGTATACATCTCACACTTTGCATTTAGCTCAGTTTCAAAGAAACCGGTTATGGTAATTTAATCAAAATTCATACCCTGGTATTGGTAAGAGCTAATTAAGTGTGTCATAAAGTACTTACATTAACCTTCCATATGACCTTGACCTCAAAATTCCTCATTGTAGGTTCAGGTCAGTGTTCAAGATATATGAGAAGATTATTTTCGTAAATTTCATCGGCTGAAAGGACGTCATGTGATATTTGTCCTTTTGTGATATTGACGCAAAATTGCATCTACGGAACATGATATGGTATGACTCACTGTTAGGCTGCATCAAAGTTATGTAGAATGTGACGTCATGATATGAGACATGTTTTTACCTTTGTGACATAATGATAGCCATGTCTGTTCAGTTAGGACTATGTCAGAGCATTCCCTTTGAGTGATTATATAATATTAACTATAATGGACTTCAGTGAACAGTCAATGTGTGGTTATAAAGACACATGTGATATTGACCTCAGACCCAGAAAATGATAGCAATATCACAAGCCCGGTCGCTAATACTTTCTGTGTCTTCAGTCAGTATCACTTGACATGGGTCCTTATAACCACATATCGACCTATACTGAAGTCCATAATTAAAAAAATATAACATTTTTGAGTAAGTTTTTCTATCTTATCACAAATGTAACAAGTTTCACTATATACCCTAAAGAAAGCTGAATCACACGGGAAACAGTAATAACACATAACGGAAACAGTTATAACACATGATGGAAACAGTTATAACACCCGACCGATCATTCTCGCATGCTCTTATGCTACACATTATAGCTCGGGTTCAAGATTCAATGACGTTGGTTGCTAAGCAAACATAAACAATGGATCGTTTTGTTTGTTTAACGTCCCTCTCAAGAATTTTTCACTCATATGGAGATGCCACCACGGGACCTCAGTTTATACGGTCTTATCCGAAGGACAGGTCTTCACGTCCCACAGTGGGATTCAAACCTGCGACCTAAGGATCAACTCCTTCAAACTACACGACTCTAGAGCAAACGCTCTTACTACTGCACAACACGGGCGACACAATGGATCGTAGTTCAAAACAGCATGAAAAAATCTTAGGATCATTTATCATAACTTCTATGATTTAGATGATTGTTTTGATTTAAAAATATTGTATAACATATATCACATGACTTCTTGGGTGACTATACCAGAAAAATTTGCCCCTCAGTGACAGGAAAGTCCTGTAGTGTTAGTCACCCTCTGCCTTAAGCATCAGGTGACATAACACTACAGGGCTTTCCTGTCACCTTTGGGAAAATATTCTGGTATGTCACCCTCTAAGCCATGTGTGTTATACATGTGTATATATATATATATATATATATATATATATATATATATATATATATATATATATATATATATATATATATATATATATATATATATATATAATATCTGATAATATTGAGAGTAAGTTTTGGAGATTTTATTGTTTGTGTTTCTAAAAAATACAAATTATTGAAGTTTCTTCAATTAGAAGAGATGATGGACTAGCTGTTTAAGATGTTTAACACTCTTTTGACCAAGCTAGTACATGTATTGGAATTCCTTTGGAACTGTGACAGAGTTTCCAACACATTGGTTATAAGTGTAGAAGTAATTGACTTTATATGATCAAAGACATCTGTCCCATGTCCTGTCTTATTGATTGTTGGTGTTCTAATTCAGTTAGAGAATTAGCTACCAATTCCGTTACTCTGCCAATAAACATTATTCTCCATACTCTTGACAAATGAATTTAGACATGATTAAGGGTTTGGCCTGACACGTGTGCTCAAACTTGATCTTTGTTTTTTTTTATCTTCAAGAACACCACGTCCCCAATTAGTCAAATTGGTATGTAGTGTAGATTGAGTTTTGTTCACATTGTGGCCCCTAGAGCTGGGATGGGCCCGAAGAAGGAAGTTTTGCATAGAAAAATATCTTTATAAAGATATTCGTCTCAAAAACAGCAGGGGGCATTAATCAGAATTGATATATCATATTTACTCTTATTTAGTAAAGATTCTTTGTTTAATTAATAACCCCTTGACTAGATGGATGGAAGAATTAACAAAGGATTTATACAAAGAGAAAAAAAACAATAATTAAAAAATCTCTTCTTGGCAACAACAGGGCCCAAATTATTCATATAAACACATCTTGAATGTTGATCTTTTGAATATATGGCATGGGCCACAATGGTATGTTTAAGTTTTACATAGGATTTTATTTAAAAAAAAAAAAAACAACAACAAAGCAAAACAGTATTTTTCTCTTAAAAAACATCAGGGCAAGAAGTAATTTAGATAATGTTCAAATATATGTACATGTATTCTGTATATAATTCTGGGAAAAGGATAAAAAGGAAATGTGACTCATGTGAGCATTGTGGCTTAGTGAGGCCTCCTTAAATTTGTTAACCAACTACAGTCAAACCTCTTTAACTCAAACTTGATGGGACCAAGAAAAAACTTCGAGATATCTGAGGATTCGAAATATCGAGGATAAAAAGTGGTTGGGACTTCGGTTCCACATATCAGTGGAATTCGAGATACCGAAGTTCAACTGTATAGTAAAACATGCTTATAAGCAAACATACTTATAATAAATTGACATTTACAGTGAAGTGATTTTCATTCTCTGTGGCTTTAGAATATATTGTAAACTAAATCAATATAATGAAATACATTTATAATGAATCAAAATCATCCGTTCATAGGATTTGTTATAAGGGTGTTTTTATCAGTATTCTTTATTTTTCAGAATAGAAAGTTTTAAAAGGGGTGTCCATGTAATTTGCAAACATTTTTTTTCTATTAATAATTGAGTGCCAGAATTAAAATTGATGAGGTAAATGAATTGCGAGCACAATACATTCTTGTAGTCCTTCATTCATTAAAAGCAGTGTGTTTTTGGACACTGTAAATCTTCAACTTTATTGCTTTGATGAAATAGAGGGGTATACTTGGAACGTTATTCTTATTCAATCCCAGAATCATACAATCTAAATAGGTCAACAAAGATCATGTCTACCATGTCTACAGAGATGAAAGTCTGCATGCACGTTTGCATGTTTTGTTGCTTTCTGAGTAAGAACAGAATCCTTGATCTCTTCTTTTTAAATGGACTCTTATCATTTATGCACACTTTTTATTGCTTTTATCAGGGGTATATCTTCATGGACCTCGGAATGTTAAGGCCACCAATGAAATTACAATTTAGATCACTATTGGATATAAAATGGGGAGAGATGTCCTCCCAGATCAATGATGGTGATCGTTTATTTTGGTACATGTACTTTATCAGAAGGGAAGATCACTTGTTTTGTGAAAATGGTTTTATGCAGGCAATCATGTTTAGAATGATGAATTTTATCATCTGGGTTTTGCTCCAAAAAAAAAAATTAGACCCCATGGTTTGAGCAATCAAGCAACTTGTAATTCCCTAGATCAGATTAATTGTTATGCAATGGAGGAGTTCTTTTTTGCTCATGGCACTGAGACTGATTCTAATCAGGTAATTTCATTAGCACAGATAGAGAGAGAGAGGGGGGAAAAGTCACCCATAAATCTTAATTAAGGGGTTTAAATTAATCAGTTCAGAAATTTCTCACTGTAGGATACTGCATATGAAAAAAAAAATTATTTAATATGTTCTGAAAATTGTGAGTCAGTATTCTTAATTAATCCAATTGATTCAATTAATATCAGAAATGAAATCTGAACTCGCAGTGACATATTGTGCATTTGTGATTTTAATTCATATTTTGTTTCAATTATAAGTTAGTCAATTGAGGTCATATACCAGTTTCAATTAAGTTTTTTTCTCAAAAATTAAAGATTTAGTGTAATTAGATAAAACTTAATTTATAGATTATAAAAATTAGGAATATCAATTAATATTTCCTTTGAAAATTTTTCATGAATAACCTTAATTTTTACAGGCAAAATCATCATGCAGATAGAAGCAACTCACCAAGACATGTTCTACAAACACATTGTAGATTTATTTGATGATGTATGTTAGTGTTAATTATTTGAATTCTTGTGTTGTATTAATTCACAATGATTTTTTGTATCTCTGCATTGGAAGGTCAAGTTTGATTGCATATTTAAAATAAAAGTTCTAAATATTTTGGACATTGTATGCCATTGACTTAATATTTGAGAGTCAGAATTTTGAAACAGTAGGGAGATGTAAAGATTGAATGAGCATACTATTGAACACTTTGATGTGGTATTCTAATGCATATTTAAATGCTAAGGCTTGATTGCATTTGTTTGACTGAAGGAGAAAATATTGTCTTTAAGGGGAGATAACTTTATAAATGAATCGTTTGACAGTGATAAAGTTCCAGACAGTGGTCCATTGATTGTAAGAAATGTCTTGATTGATCAGTAGAAAAACAGTTAATCGACCTCCCCAGAAGATTGCAAGATGCTTGTACTAAAGTTGGGTTATGTTTCAAACTATCACTTTTCGAAGAAAATTTGTTATGACACTGTAATTATGTATGATTAAATCAGAAAGTAAGTGTCATATAGCTAGGGGCAGTTTCACAGTTCGAGCAGATTTGATAAGTTTCTTGCAGATTTTTAGTAGGAGAACGTCTTTTGATTCTCGATGTATTCACAGATTGACTACAGGGTATAGTGAGGTGTGACCATCGGACAGAGACGGTGTCGTCATTCAGCTGCTAACATTTTAACATAGCTTTTATGTGTTTTACAGAAACTGCTGGGATAGGGTTCACAAACATTCTTGACTGACTTCACACACAGGTAAGGAATACATTTCATTTCTATTATGCATTTATGCAGAAATGCAAATTTTTAAAAAGCTTTTAATTGCAGAAAAATTTATATATATATACTCAGTGCATAAGATTTGTAAATTGTACACTTGTGTCAAATGTACATGTACAAATTGCATTCCTGTTTCGTCAAAAAAAGTCTTAGTTTTTGCTCTGGTTATATCTATAGGGGCAATAAAAATTTCACAAGACTTTATTTTCACCATTTCCAACACTATCCTAAATGCTGTCCTAAGAGTTAATATTTAGTTATTCAATTCTTTTATATTTGTATATGTGTCATATTATTATAGATTAGTATTTGTACATGCTGGTTTAGTCCACTGCAAAACAGGCTTCCTATTGGTGAACGAATGTGATTATATCGTTAGTTTTATTGACTAAATTGTTACGATGTCCTCGTTAGACATATTTACTCCCTGGATTATATGAAGCTTGTGCTCTCGTCTTGCATGCTAATTAACTCAATTGTTCTCGTACCTTCATTAGAAAAGGACATAATATTTCAGTGTGGACAACTAAGGCTGTACATCATGTTTTATTAAACAACTTATTTATTTTTCTTTGTGGTATAATTCATTACTTTCTAAGAAGAAAGTGAAGCTAAATATTTAATTTAAAAAAAATTGTTTAGATGCAGAAAGTGAATGGGAGTTTTAATGTGAGTTTTGGACAAGGATTTATATTAAAAACACAACAGATATTTGTCAATATATTTGAATTAATGTACTAGAAGGTAAGTAAAATATTGATATTAGGCTAATTATTTCATTGTGTTATGAACTAAGCCCTCTCACCAGACTTTTGTAGAAAGATAATATATATACGTGTACTGTAAACAGGGTTATTTTCACCCATGTATTTTTGCTGTTTTACAATTTTGCCCTGTTCTAAATCAGCCAGAACAGTTTTTTTTAAAAGTGTCCATGCTGTCTTTCTTGAATTAGTCCCATTTTAAATTTGTCCCACATATATGACATTAGGGTGAAGGGGGCAAAAATTTCCCTGTATACAGTAAATTCTACAGAATTGAGCTGCATAAGATAATGCAGATTAATATACCAATATTCAGCTGATGTTTGTTTGTATGTTGTTTAACGTCCCACTCGAGAATTTTTCACTCATATGGAGACGCCACCACTTGCTGGTGGAGAGCTGCAAATTTTGTCCTATGCTCGGCACTTACGACCATTGAGCAGTGAGGGATCTTTTTCATGCCAATACCTTCTGCGACACGGGACCTCAGTTTATACGGTCTCATCCGAAGGACCGGCCTCCACGTCCTACAGTGGGATTCGAACCCGCGACGAAAGGATCAACTCCTTACTCCGCGACTCTAGAGCAGACGCTCTAACCACTGCGCCACGCGGCGACTTATTCAGCTGATGTACAATACAGTACTGTATGTATATATAAGTTTTCCCATTTTATCACAAATGTACTGTAGATCTCCTTTGCTTTGTTCTACGTTGGACTAATTTACGCCATGAGCACAGTCACAATTTTTCACAGAAATTTGTCACAGTGTACCACAGTTATTACATGTGCTGGAAACAGCTAAGTTATCTTCTCAGCAACCTTTCATGTTCTTATGTTGCACTTTAATAATAAGCTTGGGTTCAAGATTCAAAGTTGTCAGTTGCTAAGGAAACATAAACAGTAATTAAAAGTGTATTCAAAATGTCATGAAAACGTTTTTGCTGTGTTTGTCTAAAATTTAACAATGTAGATAATACATGTATCTTATTTTAGTTATTTATAAAAGATTTTTTTTAAATATTATATTATATAGTATACAACTTTGCTTTAAGGGCAACCATACCCGAATATATCCCCTGAGGTGACAGGAAAGTTATGGTGTGCTAAGGCACAGGGTGACATAACACTCCAGGGTTTTCCTGTCATCTCAGGGCAAATATTCTGGTATGTCACCCTCAAAGCCATGTGATATGTGTATTATCACATTTACTCTTTTTCACTCATTAGATAGGTTTTTCCTTATCCCACACTTTGTATTCCCATGTGTATGCATTTTGAAATGGAAAATCAGAGAAGTATTGTTAAAATCATTATAAACATTCTATTATATAAAGTTCAACACTCCTGTCTTTATTTTATATATTACATACTAATCTAAGTAACATAATCATTTTGATGCTATTAATGTCCAAAAGATGTCAGCCAATGGGAAAGGTTTTGTTTTGTTTTTTTTAAAAACTTAAAATTAGGTAAAAACATGATTACAAAGAATCCCTAATATCTTGCGATTTGGAAAAATATCAAATGCAATTGCAAATCCATGGAGATACAGTAAAATGCACTTATAGCAAACATTATAATTGACGCTTACAGGGAACTGTGAACCTAACAGATATAACGAATTATGCTTATAATGAAGCAAAATCATCCATCCCTGGCACTTCGTTATAAGTTTGTTTTACTGTATATGGTTACCTGTCCTCATGCTGGGTCACTGACCATGTGAAAATTTGTAGCAAACTACACTAACATTATAGTAAAAAGATGTTAAATTAAAGGTGTATCATGAAATCTTAGAAAGATCTCTTCTTCTTTTTTTGGTTGAAAATGGATTAAGAATTGCTTTATGAGGGTGGGACAGGTTCTGTTGTGTTATGGGTTGGGGTCAAAAGAGTTGTCACTTGACAAAATTGGACCATAAAATCCTAATGTACTGACTTTGTGACTGACTTTGTGTGAAAACAAGTTCTAACACTGGTGTTGCCTTTCAGAAAGTGTTGAATGTAACAGAGAGTGATTTTTTTTTTTTTTTTTGGAATTCCTGACACACATTGTTTTTAGTTTTTGTTTTTATTTTTTTTTTGAGAGAGCAAAGCATTATAAGGTTATTTTGCATCAAAATCATATACCTGGTATGTTTAAAGTTTTTTGCCCTGATTCTTGATGGAGCCTACGTATCAAAACTCTTATAAATACTTCTCAATATTTAATTGTTGTGTGTTGTAGTTCTTCATTGTCATGTTGTTTGTGGTTCACCCCACGTTGATCACTAAATAAAAGGAGTGCCATGAGGCACCATTTACTATTACTAAGTCCATTAATTGCAGAGTTACTCCCCTTTTGTTAAATGAAAATTTTAACACCATCTTCCCCTCTATCAAAAAGCAATTCGAATGATAAAAGTGATAAAAAAAGCTTTTAACTGGACATTGATAAAGAGATATGAAAGAAAGTAGAAGGTCATAGAGCATCTTGATATTTGATTTTAAAGAAGTTGCTGAACATGTTTGTCTAAATTTACCCAGGTATTTGATACTTTAATTGTCAATGCTGTTGGACCATGAAATTCCAAGTATTTGTGTACATAGAATAAATCAGGCATTGTGTTACAGTAAATGAATGAGATTTATTCAGTTTAATTGTTATGATTACACATATCAAAAATTTGTGAAGATCAACAACCTCTAAATTCAAATTTTCATGTCTGTGAGAAAGATTATTTTATGGATCTTTTTTACATTCCTTTATTAGTTTATGGAGTTGTTTTGTTTCTTATTATTATTTTGAAAGTCTTGATTTTTATATATATGACTGATAACAATAAAACCAATTATTTTCCTGGGGAAACCACATAAAAATTGGGCAGTGAATGATGAAACAAATAATATACCTGACATTATCAATAAATCTTCTAACAAATACGAAAAATCTGCTTGCTTTTTAAAAAATCTATACTGTAGAGCTTATTGAATGTTGAAGAAACATAGGCCTTTAGAGTCTGTATGAATGCCAGTCACAACTACTAGACATAGCTTTTAGACAGACTAGTCAAGGAATTGCCCATTTCTTTACAAAGAGAGAGACCTCCCCTCCCCCCCCCCCCCCCCAAAAAAAAAAAAAACAGAACAGAAACCGTTCTCATTTTTTAAAAAGAAATGGGGGAAATATTAAAAAATAAATTGTAAAATTGAGATTCATGGCCACTACATGTTCTTATTGATCGTCAGTTGAACCATGCTGTAGCCTATATCAGTATAACTAAGGGATTTGCTGCTTTAAATATGTAAAATGTTAGTAAATCATACATGCATGAATTTTGCTTTAACTGTGAACTCAATGTCAACAAACTATTTATCAAAGACTATAAAATTAACTTTAAGTTGTTTTACTTTTAATCATTTATGTCATAATCATGTTTTAGCTTTAAAGTTAAAAATGTTAATAATTCTGTTAATATAAAACTACCAGTTCAATATTCCAATTCTTACAGATGCAACTGCATGTTCTTTTCCTTTATTATAAAAAGCAAATTATCATTCGAGACTTCAGATTTTTTTCCCTCCAATTTTCTAGCAGAAATATTAGCTTTTTAGAAATTGCTGTAAAAAAAATATAATAGTATTCAGCGTTACAAAATATTGGTTATGACGTAAGCCAATATTACCAAGACAAAACATTTTTATCATTTATGGAGTTACCCAACAGTTTTATGTAGCAGCTACATATTTCATGGCTGTTGTCCGACATAAGACTCTGCAATCTTGATAAATTTTTCTCCTGAAGGAAAGATTTATTTAAATTTTGCATGTTTTATACATGGAATCAGGAGATAATCCATATTAAACTACAGTAGAGAGGTTGGATAATTGGTGCTGTGCTTGACTTTGTCTGCAGAGGTTTTGTTGATTGCTGATAGAACTTGATGTTTTATCAAATTATCACCATATTTTTTTTTTACGTTGCTTTAAGACTTGTGCAAGGGGCTTAAAATTTGCAAGATTGTATAGAATGCAAGATAAACAATGTAATGAATAACTTGATACCAAAATACCACAAGGTTCCTATGATGTGATAAAAAAAAAATAGCTGCAGATATTGGTATTTTGTACAACTTGGAGTGTAGTATGAAAATTTGGTTTAAATAGAATTTAAGGAAAGTTAACGTACTTCTATGAATCCTTTATTCACAAGAGAGTTCCGTACAGATTTGTCAGTCACATATTTATCAAGACATTCTAATGCAAATTCTTAGAATTAAAACATGAAATTTTCATTTCATATGATTAATGGTTTAGGAACATATTACTTGCATAAAATCTGCATATAAATAACCTTTTGGCCCTAATGCACATTTGTTATGTGTTGAATAAGCAGAAAAATAAACCCAATTACATTGATCCAAGATTTTGAAATAGCTATATATGATAAACACCATATTTTGCATACAGTTGTATGTGTTTGTAGTTTGACAAGTTTTTGTCTGAAAACTCAGCAAAAAATTTCTGATAACTTCCATGATTCCTTTAAAAGCTAAGACTTAGAATTGATGTACCAGTGGAACTGTCGGACCTATTCAGAATGTTGTGACCATAAGGCACTTCATATTAAACATCCCAGTATACCCATAAATCTAGCTGTCATTGATAGTCATTTTGATTTCAAAATTTTTAAAATTATCTTTAAAAGCCCCCAAAGGGTTTGATGAATATTCATATTTTTATTTGAAATGATGGAAATGCTATACAGGAATGTATAAGTAATATCAATATTGGGAAAGTTCGGTTAATTGAGTGTTTTGAATGATATTTTTCATTTGTGTCTTATTTTTACTTCAGTTCCCCCAAAGGTGTTATTAGTCCCCTACCAGTGAAACCGGAGGGGACTATAGGTTTCCTCTGAGTCTGTTCGTCCATCTGTCTAGCTGCCCGTCTGTCTGTCAGTCCCTCTGTCTGTCTTTCAGTCTGTCCTACTTGGTTTTCTGCACTTTTTTCTAAACACTTGCAGATATTGAGCTGATTTTTGGTATGTGAGTGTATCTTGATGAGTTACAAGTCAAGATTGCATTTCGTTCCACTTCAATGATTTTTAGTGGATTTACTACCTTTTGAATTTTTCAGGGTTATCCTCAATTTTTTTCTAAACGCTTGCAGATATTGAGCTGATTTTTGGTATGTGACTTTACCTTGATGAGTTATATATCAAGTTTGCATTTCATTCCGCTTCATTGATTTTTGACAGAATTATGACATTTTCAATTTTTAGCGGGAACCAGATTACACTTGTCGGTAGGGGACGACTAAGTATTGCTAATGCAATACTCTCAGAATGCTTGTTCACCAGAACTTTATTTTTGTGTAATTACATGAGACTGTATGCTCACAAAAATTTTATCCGTGGATATTTGTATTCCTAAAAGATTATATAGAGCAATAAAAAAATATTGGTCTAGCAAATGAAGAGTAAATAATTAATATAAGGTGTACCGGGGTAGTTAAAATTTGGTGAACTACTGTATGCACAGCAAGGTCATAATTTTTCCGGTCTTTATGGGAATTCAGAAAATCTTTAATGATGAAAAAACTGCAAATGTTTAACGTAGTTATAGCAAAAATAGCTCGCTCTCTCTCTCTCTCACTCTCTCTTAAGCATGAGCAGTTACTTGTCTTCAAGGATGTTAGCCTTGAACTAGCTTAGTCAGTCAAACTTTTATGCCATGAGATAGTGCCATTTTATGAAGAGCATGTTACACCTGACTAAGTTTTGGCAAGAGTCCACTATGCAAATCTAAATCACATCAGAAATTTAATTTCTTTGATAAAACAAGGTCCTAGCTTGCTCCCAAGTACAGGTCTTATAATAAAGCTTAGTTGTTCATGTATTAAAAATGCATTACATTGATAATAAAATTATTTGTTTACTCTTTGGCATCTAGCAGCAGACCTTTTTGTATGATTATGTGCCAGATACAAAACTTATGGGAGCTTTAGGTAAAGGATTGAGATCTTAAAATTAGGCTTATTTGTGAAAAATATACATGGGTATCAAAGCTATTGGTTGGGGTGTAATTTGGAATGGAGGAAGATGACAGCTTCTGCATTGAGAAAATAATAGATTTCTAGCTTATGTAGGGTGTATTACTACTAGGAGCTGGTGCATGCTGCTAAGTTAGGTGACTGTCAAGACCCCATTGTCTTTGGGCCCATTGTCTTAAGTCATTTAGAAATTGGATGTTTGCTCCTCAAGGTTTTCAAATAAAAGCAGTTGATATTTCATTGTCATGCAATAATTGCAGTAAAGAATTTTAATTGAAAAGTGCTAATATCAAGTGAGTGTATTATGTTACTACACACAGTTTGCAGTCCAGTTCAAGTGGGGGACATGCATTTCTTTGAGTCATTTTGTGCCTTTTGGGGACATGTTTCTTTTAGTCATTTTGTGCCTTTCTAGCATATACACATGCACATTTAATATGTCATGAAGAAGGATCATGAATCAGAGCAACAGTCCTATCTTAAATGTCAAAATATCTAACACCCACCTTTTAGGAATTAAGTGGTTCTGCTTTACTTTATTTGGGCAGTTTGACAGAGTCATTCCTCATACATGGACTCATTGTCCACCCCCTTCTAAGATTACCTCCCAACTGGAAGCTTAGGTATTGGTAATCTTGTTGACAGGTGAAGAAGATGATAAGTCGAATATCACATACATTGGCTGACATTCAATCGAGTAGTAGAAGGAATCGATGGTCATTGTGTCCAATTTATGTAAAAGGGTCTTCCATCAAGCTATGAATGGAGACTTTTGGGATAGATGGGAATTACTGTTATTTGTGAGACAAAGTCCCAGAATAGGCCAAAGAAAGAACTTGGGTATTGATTAACTGAAGAGGAATGAACTAGTTTTCTACTTGGTTAAATTGTGTTTTTGATTTGATTACAATAAACCAGTGAGATGTTCTGTCCCTTAGTTGAACACTTAAAGTTGCAGCTGCCTTTTTTTCCTATGATCCATGGATGTATACGTAAGAAATATCGTGTAATAAAATAAATGCATATAAAGAGAATTTCCATATTGATTCTTAGCAATGCTGTGCTAGAGTTTATGAGATGTAGCAAGCATTGAATCATGCTAGAAGACTGATAGGAGGGGAAAAAAATCATCTTACACTGCAATCAGGACTATAGGGGCCATGCTCACTTGAGATACTACCAACATTGTAGACTTAACCTGCATGATTAACAAAGACGTGCCATTGATAGGATAGGTGAACTTGTTTTCTGGAATTTACAGCTTTAACCTTTCAAATTTTAAGGTAAAAAGTTTGTTTTGAGCATGTGGTCATTCAAAAGTTTGCAATTTAAAATTTTGTTTGATTGATTTTCAGAATAATAGATGATATTATTATGACTAAAAATAGATAAATTTAATGAAATGTCTCATTTTTTCTTCTCGAATGGAACGTGTAAATTTATGGCAGATGTTTATTTGTTTTTTTAGATAATTTAGCGAGTTTTAATCCCACAATAAATTTTTAAGAAAAACACAAATATTGGAAGATATAGGAGTAAATGTATACTTTTCTTGTTTTACTACATCTTGTAAACATTCTTGTAAACATGGTAATGATTGAAATTACAATAATTTGTTTGGACATGAAGGAAGAGAGCATGAAATTTGTTTATATTATTTCCACTCCCTTATGATGCTGTAGAACATCAGTTTGTTTACTCTGGGAGATGGTCAACAACAAAAAATTAGATTTGTTGTAGGATCCAGTTATAGGTGCATTACCCTCTATATTAAAACAACAGAAGCTTCTGCAGTCTTGCAGTAAGACTTTAAGTTTTCATTATCAAGGGGGCAATCAAGGATATTCATCCTTTATATGTGAATTTTGGTCATCAGATAGCTATTTTGTTCGTAGGTCTTAAAACAATTCTGTGAATTCATCATATCTACAATGGATAATTGATTGCCAAGAATGTCAGCCAAATTACAGAGTAAAAACAGGTTTTTCAATCATTGTATGATCTTTCAACCGATCATTTTAGCTAACACTTCACTTATTATATGTTCTGAAACAAGTAAGTCTTTACTGTCTGTTTAAATACTAAGTAAGAAAATTCTTTAATTAGAATTGTTTAAGTATTTTTTTTTTCTTTTCTCCCTAGGAAAACATAAAAGTACAGGTGAACCATTTCCTCTGAACTTGGAGAAGTTTTCACAGGTAAGAGTTAATCTGTTAAAACACAAGACAATTTCTCTCTAAAAGTGTATACTTTTTTGATTTACTGTATACTGTGTACAGTGTTATTTTCACACACACCTCCTCCCTCTATTTTCACCCTATTATACTTTCTTCGTTTTTTAATTTGCCTACACACAGTTGTGCTAAAGGGAGGTAACTCTGTCTCTGTTAAATAAACCCTGTTTTTAATTCTTCCACTGATGACATAAGGTGCATTCAGAATTGTAGCGGCTATGTATCTTCTATGTAGAGTTATAATCTTGAACTCTATGCTAGCTTAGCTGCTACGTAAGGAAAGCTAGCATGAATATTTGATGCTATAACTGTACCAAATCCAAGATGGCCTCCTTAGTTACTGCTTCACATCACACGAAATACTAACAAACAGATAGGTTGATTTTTTTTATCTTAGCAAATCAAAAGAAAATTTACTTACATTTTTGCTTGTGTTCAGTTCACTTTGTATCAAAAATTAGTTATTACTGACAAATTTGTATTCAAAATCCAAAACCTTAATTGGCTAGGTGAGCTGTTTCATTTGTTCAGTAGAGCTAGATATCTACCTCCTAGCTGCTATTTTAACCAATACTTGAATGCAGCCCAGGCCCCAAGACCATAAACTGAGAATAGACTTAAGTCAAAAATTTGATTTTCAATATCTTGAGTTTTATTTAATGTATTTGCTTAAAATTTTGCAATTTTATTTAACATTTAAATTTAAAATTATGATGAAAATCTTGTTTCATTATCAAAATTATTTCAAAAGTTATATTGGTTTGAAATTTTGACTTAAGTCTGTTCTCAATTTTATGGTCTTGGGGCCAGGGCAAAATAGGGATGAAAATAAAGCAAGGGTGAAAATTTCCCTTTTACAGTATACTTCATAAATCTTTAAAGATCTCCATCTTTAATGTTACAATGCACCATGGTGAAGAACTATGAGCACTCAGCAGCAACGAAATTGTGAATATGTGTTCCCTGATCCAGGGTTTGGATGACAAATTAAGCCCTTGGGAAGGACTAAGTGGATCATATTATGTACAAACTGAGAAAGTATAATTCCTTTGAAATCTCAAACATCTAGCATCCAACTGCTTACATAAAAATGGTAATCAAATTTAAGGTCCATTAAGTTTTATGAACTTTGTGTCCCATTTTAAGTTCATATTTAGGTTCAGACGTGCTGGGCAAACTTGATCTTTGTCTGTAGAGAAACTAATGTTCTGGTAATACCTATAATTATGTTCAAATATTAAATGTATTAATTTGTTTAATCACTGTGTATATGTTCTTGCACATACATAAACTTATAAATACTAGTGTATTACTTTAATTGGTTGAACAAGTATTAAAAGGAGTTAGAATGAGCTTTCAAACAATATATACATATATGTTGGCAATTTCACTGTCATTTAGAAGATTTGTTGCCTGTATTTTATTTCGATATTTCAATATGTCAGTGAATTTATACTCTGAATAGCTCAGTCTGAACATAATTGTTTCAATCACTTGGAAAAACATTTATGTGGAATAAGATGCTAATCAATTGCTGTATCATGAGAAGTATTTAAAGGATTATACAAGGTTTGGCCTTGGATTCATACCAGTGATCACCGATAAAGACTGCCTCAAACACTACAAAAATACATCATTTACAGAATGGGTTATAAAATATACAAACATTAATTTGTATGCAGAGAGATAGTTATCTTGGGATTGGGAGATGAATCTTCCTTCAAGTTTCTGGGCTACAGATGAACAGGTTTTCATTTCATACCATTTCCATTCAACTGGTATTTCAATGTTTTGTTAAGTTCATCAGTAGGTTCTGCTTGAAGTTCTTGATTGTTTAAAGTGATGGAAACTACTATGTATTTTGAAAGTGGTTCATCCAGAAATTTTGAATAGAGGACATACTTATTTACAAGTTTCGATCCATATATACATTGTACCAGACAAATAAGTTGTCTGACTTCACAGAGAATTATAAACCACTACAGACAATGAATGAATTGTGCCAAAGTCCAGTTTTATGGTTCAATCACACAAAAAATTAAAATACACTTGTGCATATTCAATTGACAGAAATCCCAAAAGAAAAAATTTGAATGCACTGTTGTCTTCAAAAGAATTCATTCTGAAAAGCTCAAATCACAGAAATCACACAGTGTACATAATTAATCATCTTTGATTTAACATAATTAATCATCATTGATTTAACACAGAAATAATCCATTTACCTGGTAATATGACTTTGTAGAATATGTGTGGCAATTCTTTGATAATTATGAAACATTAAGTAAATTAAATTTTTTTAGTACAATGTACATCAGTGATGATTCTGTTCCCATATCATATTTCATTTGAACATAAACCAAAAAGGTGCAAACATGAGTGTCAGTTTTTAAGCCACCTGAATCTTTTGAGTGACCTATTGCTAATCCATTTTTGCCCAGTATCTTCTTTCAGTCATCATAAAATTTTTAAACATTTCATCTTCTTTCTCTGCAATGACTGAACTAATTTCAACCATTGTTTTTATATATGGCATTAATATATGATTTGGAAACAAGCTTTTAATTTCACCCCCCCCCCCCCCATCACCTCCCACCCCCCTTCTTTGAGTACGGGCACCAAAAACATAAGAATTTCTTTTATCTTCATTGCTCCTAAGCTTCTAGCATAGTTATAGATAAGTAAAAAGAATCATCCAAAGTTGTTATAAAAGTTGGTCAGGCCCTACATAAGCTGCAGAACTGAAGCTCTCTGCTTGAGAAAATTCAGACAGACAAAGCAGAGAGCTACAGATCCAAGCGTTGTTAAAACCTTCAATTTACGCCGCCGCTTTTTTGTCGCTTGCTTCGGTTATTATTTCTTGTATTTTATGCTCTCACCCACTTTAAAAACAGTATCCGATAATTAACCATATATTTTACTCATATTCCTGATACTTTATTTACCTTTCAACAGTTCCAGACGGCCGTATGTGGTTTTTGAATATCAGTAAAAAAAAATGCATTCCAACGTCGACGTTGGTGTCATCCTAAAATAACACGCCCGAGTTCTATTTATTTCATTTCTTTTTTACATACGTATTGTATTCTTTGTAGACATTATACATGCTATTTGAACCTCCTGAATTTTTTATTTACATTTTCTCGGCAAGTATATGTTTTTTGAAAAAAAAAATTTCGCACAACCCCAAACATGGACGTCAGAATGGGGATTTTTTAAACCGACATTCCAAAACCATTAAGGGCTGTTTGGGACCATTGAAAGGTAAATAAGGTATCAAGAATAGGACTAAAATATATGGCTAATTATCGGATACTATTTTAAAATCGGGTGAGAGCATAAAATACAAGAAATAATACCCGAAGCGAGTGACAAAAAAGCGGCGGTGTAAATTGAAGGTTTTAACAACGCTTGGATCTGTAGCTCTCTGTCTGTTCGAATTTTCTCAAGCAGAGAGCTACAGTTCTGCAGCTAGCCCTATATGTGGCACGGTTGATAACGTACAGAAATTCATTACATCTGAGAAAATCTTTATCCCAGGGCATCTAGTTAGAAAACAGCAACATTATGATGACAATATATACTCTAACCAAAGCTTTACAGATGGTCAAAGGAATCAGGTATGAACGCAACACTGATATGTAAAACCAAAAATTTGTTAAAAGTAACAAGTCAATTATTGAAATAATGTTTTTTTTACATTATGTGTGTACATTGATACCTTCAACCCTGCTGCAAATTCAGATTGAAATCCATAATTGTTTTTTACAAATTACCATATTTGAGTATTAATTTATAAGAAATTGATAACCTTTATCAAAAACAAAAAAACTCTAGATGCTGATGGTTAATACACACTTTGCTTGCAACACAAATAAAGAAACAAGGTCACTGAACAAGGTCAAAGATATTGGAAGGAAATTTATAATACAGCCATGTAAGAAACTTGTGTGTGACATTCTGGTGATAATTACTCTTGTAGAGTATAGAACTACTCATAATACCCGGGTGAGCATTAAGGCCCATGGGCTCTTGTTTTATGAAGTGAAAAGCTAGAAATCTACTTTTAGGAGAGCAAGTGTGTATTTTGTATGTAATTAAGTCTAGTGCTAGTGCTCGTCTAATGCTCAACCTCAAATTAAAGAACAGTAGACTTCTCCTAAAAATTCTATTTTTGATGCAATATATTTTTCCCTATGTCAGTGATATTGTCACTTACTAATTGAAATGGAAGTTTCTTTATGTACCATTAATATTCTCAAGTAATCACTCAGGCTTAAGTTGTAGTATATATATGTGAAAGAGGAAGCAAAATGCATATGATGATATAAACTTTTGCAGAATTATGGCACCATATTGCACATAGAACATGATTAACCATTTGCAGCATGCTATGTAGAGGGATATTTTATGGCCAATTATAGGTCCCAGTTCGCTCCACATATGAAAAAATACTACGAGGAACCACTGTAAATAGATATCTATTTTCCCTCCTCAGTTTGATGTATTCTGTGAGAATTATGTCACTGTATCGAAGCAAGCTTAACAATTACTTGTCTGTGAATTTGCTTAGATAATGACATCAGCCAAGCTTCGATAGAAATCGGTGTTGGGCCTTCTATCTTAATAACACTCCACAACACACTTCTATTGCGGTCTGTCAGGCCTCGCTTTGAGGAGACTACATCAAACTGGCCAGTGGTGTAGTGCTCTGTCAGGGAATATGTCAATTGTTTGATTATAGAGCAAAGGTATGGATTTTTGTGCCCCTCAAAAGGAAGAAAATGTCATCAATGTGTACAGGGAGGATTGTTGTCTCTGATTGAATACCTCATTAATGGATTTCCCTAAGTTACGCACTACCTCTCATCTATAAATAAGTCTGTTTTGGTGTTGACTTTGGTCAACTTTCTTTTGTCGCTAATGTTTTCTAACTTTGATTATATATGTATTTGTAATTTTTA